ATTTTAACAAAATATTTGAAACCACTGAAAGCAATCTAAAATGGTAATTTCAGAAAGAGCCAATATTAACTAAATGAAAGAAAAATATGAAAAATCCTCAAACTAAATCTGTTGAAAAAAATGTATGAATAATTCTCTTTACTTTCTTTTTTATTTCTCCCAAACAAAAATGCGAGTCGTGATTTTATTTACTTCATATGTATCAGATGTTGAACTTTTAATTCGAAACCGGTCATACCTTACAAATTTAATGATATTCCAGGCTAATAATTTATTTGGTTATTTTTATATATATATATATATATATATATATATATATATATATATATATATAAGCACTTTATATATTAATTATTAGACGCCTGGGAGACAACAATAATGTTTAACATTTAAAAAGTAATAACTTAAGTGATTTTATTATTATTAATAACTTAGTAATAAATAAAATAATTAAATTATTAATAGACTGAAATATGCATATATAAATTATGAAAATGGAAAACAAAACTGTTAAAAATAAATTAATTTATTATTAAAAATATTAATATTATAACCATTAAGAAAAAGCTAATTGTTCACTACCTAAATGTTAATATAAAAATATCTTCAAAATTTTAGATAAAAAAATCAAAACATTTTTTTACCATTTAAAATACAGAAATAAATACAATTTTACTATACACATGATATATATTTATTTTTTTTTTGAATAAAATAAAATTCGAAAATAATGTTTATAATTGATAAATAATTGAATTCTAAAGGAGGTGGGGGGCGGAGCCCCCACTTTTTAAATTAATGTAAATAGTTGTAGCCTTCATTTTCAATGGATATCCGCTTATAATGGTCTTTACTTATTTCCTACACATTATTATGTTCTGTAAATACTACAATTAATGAAGTAATCATAACTAACTTAAGTGTACATAAAGTTCTATTTTGGATGAAAAATAGAGTCGAATCCTAAGTATAAAGTAAAACATAATAATAATGTTGATTTTCATCCTTTTATTTCTTCTATTTAAAATCCATAACAGCATTTTTTTTTAGGGAACTATCATTATCTAAATGTATCTGGTCAATGAGTTCCGTTACCAATGAAATTACTATTATATGACTTGAGAATTGCATATAGTTGCAATTGGCGAGTTCGTTTTCAACCAAAACCGTACCCTTTCTATTTGGGCCGGGTGCAACAAATACTATACCTCACTCCCGGACACCGACTTGTGCGTGTCGCACACCACCGACCAGCCAATTGTTTTGGTGTGTAGTGGTGTTATAGCTCAACTAGTAGTGTTTGGGTTCGTCTCGCAAATACTAGTAAGCTATGTTATAATATTGTGTGTTATGTGTGTATATATGTATGTTTTTTGTGTGTGCTTAAAACTAGAAGAAAGGTAACTAAAAAAAATGACAAATAATGTAAAATGGTAACTATGTATTGCATACATATATTTGGTACAAAAACGATTGATAATAAACAATAAATAAATAACTCACAGCAATACAGATATAGAAAATGTATGAAAAAATAATATTAATAATTTATAATAAATAATGAACCTTATGGTACAATAATAGTTAAATAATTATGGTCCTTTTGGCCCAACAACAAACTAAATAACAAAATAAATATAAATACGTGGCCTTTTTGGCACAATAATATGAATAAATATATAAAACTCACAATTTGGTGGCGCGTAGACTGACCAGCTGTACTACCTAAAAACTGTAATTTAACGCAAACACAATAATAATATAAAAAAATAGTGGCGATTAGCGCACACACAATAATAATAATTGATGCAATTCGTGCATATAACAATTTTAATAATATTATCATAAACAACGGTGATTTGCGCACGTATATAATAATAATTATAAACTGCTATTAGTGCACGCACTAAAAATAGTATAATAACAATAAAAAAATTCAATTCTTGCAATTCGTATCAATAATATCAAAAAAAGTAACACAAAATAGGAATTTGTGCACACACTCTTTCGACGATCGTACGTAAAAAATAAAAATCACAAATTTCGGCGATTCGGGCACATAAAATTACATAAAAACAATAGGTCTCTCTCGGATGGCGGTTTTACAAGAAAAAATAAATCGGATACGATTAGGTATTGATTATATTTAAATAAGGAATGTAATTATTTTGTCATATAAATGTCTATATTAGAAGTATTAAAATATTTATTGTATATAAAACTTGTTGAAAGTACAATAGGGAAGTACTATATTTCTGTTTTTCTTTCATAGCTTTTGGCAACTTATTAGAGTTACTTTGTTACTTGGCAACTTTGTTTATAACAAATTATAACATTCATCCTTTATCATATTTTGTTATGCAAGATCATTTCAATATTGCATTTTAGTTTCTTGGTATTTCAAATTTTTCATTTTCTTAAAAGAAGTTTTAGGTTCTATTCATAACATATAATAGTAATCAAGTATGTAATCCATTTTCATAATAACAATTCCATTTGGCGAATGGAATCTTAATAATAATTCTGTAATATCTATTAGTTTGTTCTTTATAATTGTACAATTATTTTATCTGCACTGATAATAAAAACATTGCATAAATTCAGCTTTATTTAGATTTAGGTTGCTATATGTAATTTCATTTTAAAAATCTATGTTTAGAGTATGATACATTTCTATATTTTAATGTTTGTACACCATCAAGAACATCCAGAAGATTATCACCTTTAAGGGAAAAAAAATCTTTCTCCGAGGAGTTACTCTCCTCTAAAGTCGCGATATCTCTATCGTCAGTGGCGTACCGAGATAAAAATTTTTTTGATGCCAATTGCAAAGTCTAGATTACCACCCACCCACCCACTCATTGATAGACCAAAAAGTACCAATAACAGTTACAAGCGTCAAGTTATATGCCATAATCATAGAATAAATATAGATGTGATTTACATATTATTATCCAACAACCACTCACCCCTTTTTAACTTGATGCCTGAGCTTCATTTAGACCTATATTCGGCACGCCACTGCCTATCGATCACCATCTCCAAGGAGAAATCTCAGATATTTCGTAAAAATAAGACGACTGTCTCCATTAAGGAGAAGAAGTAGGAAGAGTTCCCAAATTTGTTGTGATAATGTCAATAAACATACGTTATTTATAATAATATGACGTATTATATTATCGCGTGCAGCGTGCGGTGGCGTGCCTAATACCAGGGGCGTTTTTTGGGAGGGGCAGACTATGGCAAATGCCCCACTCTAAAAAATTTTAAAAATTCAGCAATTCTTTGTCCGATGATCAAATTTTTATTTCCTATTTTGTACTCAGAAATCAGATAATATTCTCTTTTAATTATGGGTATTGTGAAAATGCCAGCTTATTCAGATTATTGGTCACCATATACAAGATATAGTCAAATAGCAAATGTTAATTTTTTGTTAATTAGTTTATTTATGTTACTTATTTTTTATTACAAAAGATAATTTTAGTTTGCAATTAAAGACTGAACAAAAGTTAATTTGTTTTCTGTTATTACCTATATATAAGTACTATGTTATTCAATTTTTTTTTTTACAATTTGTAAACACATTTAATAATATTTTTTATGTATTTAATTTTTGTTACTTATGTTTTGCAAGTAAAGACTAAAAAAAGTTAATTTGCTTTCTGTTATTACATATAAGTATAATGTATCAATGTTATAAATTTATAATTATAATAAAAAGTTTTAAAAAAAAATACACTAAATTGGTTTTTAGATTATCAATATATTATAAATCATCGTATAATTTATAAAACTAAGTAACAAGAAATATGGATTATGTATCTTCAGGGATACATGTGTTAAACAATGGTTTCGAGATTTTGTGTCCTATAAGATACATCTCATATTTCAAATTTGAGTATTCAAATTTTTTGAGGACGATGTTTTTTAAGTTCAGTGACCTTAAATAAGCCAGAAAAACCTTACTTTAAAATTTTCAGTTGCTTTTTTCACCTAGTGAACATTTAAGGGTTAAGTACACGTTCACGATTTGTTAAAAGTTGGAAAACTCTCCGGTTTATGAAAATCGTTATTACGTTATTATATATTTCTATATATGTGATCTTTATAAAAGTTTTCGTGATATCGATACCATAAGAATTGAGCTTATAATCTATAAAAAACCGTTAAAATCATTCCTATTCACCCTAAACTACGGTACATTATATTTGAGATATAATTTTATGTTTTTATAAATAAGTTCTGTAAAGTATTAAATATACAAATAATAAAATTATAAGTATTTATTTAATTAGATTTATATTATTCCATTAAGCCTATTGATAGGTAACTTATAGCCTATAGGATAAGTAAATAAATTATAGTTTTACTATCTTTAATGTTATTATTTAATTGGGTAAATTGAAACGTTTCATGTTATTTGTTTACCATCATGACATAATTATTCATTACTAATCTTTATATGTTTTGTTCCGAAAAAATATTTTATTGATAGTGTATCGTCCATAAATATTAAATATTTAAATATATAGGCAACCATAATTTTTTAAATATTATGAAGTTGGCAAATTTAATCAGTTGCCTCACCTTTTCAAAAGTTGAAATGACGCCTCTGCCTACTACACAATAATAGCATTGATTATAGAATATCTAAAAGGTTCATGAGGATTTATCTCCTATATTTTCCGTGAGTAGGCCTCTTAGAGGGGCGCCAATTTTTTTTTGCGCCGGGGCACAAAATGTCTAAATACGGCACTGGGCCTAGGCCGTTGACTAGAAGAGGATTTGAGTAGAGAAGTCTTATCACGGAACGTTGTGATCATGAGAAGTAGCGAGGAAATAAAAAATATTACCAAGACGGTGGACATGGCTGCACTGCGTTGTAATCGCTCTGTTGATATACCGTGATAACGCGACAACCGTCGATGGGTCGGTGGTGGGGACAAAGATAATAACTGGGCCTTCTCGTTCCATATAATAGTCTCGGCACTTTCGGATGGGAGGAAGTGGTAACGGGTAAAAATCTCTATAGGTTTTTTCTTTTTTTTTCCTATTTATTTCTTTTTTTTTTCTCGATTGTATTTTAGTTAATTATCACGATCCAACTGGATAGTTTGTCTTTCAGTCGTGTGCCCAGTCCAGCGTGTGAGAGGTCTACGAATTTCTATGATCGTTCGTTACGATTTATAACATAACATTCGTATTTGTTCACATTTTTATATCGTTCTGGTTCGATCAAGGTTATTGTTGTCTGCCGCGTTACTCCGCTTCGGTGCGAGTTGAGTGATTTAATTTTTCACCTCATTCGCTTTTCGTCATTGAAGTAATTGTTTGTTTTTAAATCTGTATCACCGTGTCGATTCCTAGCGCACCTGTGTGACTGTTGAAGTTGAAACAACACACCAAGCTTGATGAATGGTCATCTACGATATGCTCCATTCAAAGGATTACTGGACACTGCCTCTTGTCAGAACGGTGGTTCTTGTATTCTTAACGCTATTCCATGTTCAAAATATTTGCTGTAAGTACCTTTTTTGGTATTTTTTTTTATTCAAAAAGAAACTAAACCATATCATAAAATATTTCTGATATCTTGTTTCTAGTCATGACTAACTAAACAAATACTAATGTATCTACTATTTACCAACTTTTTTTTTTTTAATTTTATATTTTATTGCACTCAACTCACTGTCTAATTATCCTGTCGAATAAGTGTTCACCATTAGAAGTCTGTTAAATGTAATAACAATTCATTCTATAGTTGGCAATTAAGTCTTGTTCAAAATAAAACCATCTTAAACTTACATCTGCCAGTTCTTTATGTTTTATTTCTTATTAATAAAGTATTGTAAATATATCTACCTATATTCAGGTCTAAATCAAAAAACTATTTATTAAACAATCTAGGAGTACCAACTATCCACTGAATTGAATCTTTAGGTATTTCAATTTATTCTCTTTGCTTCAACAGGATTCATTTAATTTAATACAGTTTACATTAATTATTTCTCAAAATGTAGGCATTATAAAAAATATTGTGTTTGTTTTTTCGCTATGAACCAAACCATTTCTGTAATGTAAATAATAAAAATGTAAATAATACTTAACAATACTTTAACATATAACCATTTAAAACTTCCTATTCACAAGGTTACTATCTACCTGTATTGATAATATTATGTATTTGATCACAAATAAAATACTTTAATTACATTTTATTATATTTTAATATTACATTTTCAAATAATATACTTTTTAGGTTGGTGAAAAAAAAATACTACTGTTCAAAATTTGTATCTACCTCGGTATTTATTTAACATTATAATATTTCAAATAAGTTATTTATTATTTGTAATATTATTTTAATTTTAATGCGATATATAACTACCAAGAGTATAAAAATCATCTTACATCAATAAAACTTCTAAAAAAAAAAATACTAGTCTTCTGTATTTGCAATGAGCAGGTGTGTGTTATGTTCAAAATATTAACAAATGAAAAAATAACGGTTGGTCATTTACTGAAACCTATGTTAATATACTTTGGCTGACTATTATTAAAGTAGATTAGGTATTTCCCATGTATCATTTGTATAATATTTTTCACCATCTGCATTGTAATAAACTGTTTTTATTTGCATGACATGTGTATTAAGTCTAACAGATGCTTATTATATGATATATTTATTATTTTTTGTTTGCAATATCTCCTACGTCGATCAATATTTACTTTGGTAACTCGTTTTATATACTATTTATACTTGTAGGTATTATTTTGCAAAATTGGGTTTGTTTTATAATTTAAAGTCTACCTTTAAAGTGAATGTATTTATAGAAACGTGTCCTGTTTTACTTCTCAAAAAATCGATATATTTAATAATAGTAGGCACTTATTATTATTTTACATTTGAAAGAAATAATAGTTGATAAACCACCAAATACATAAAACAGTCTTCAGTCTAATCCATCTTGTTAAAATGTTAAATTATTTAATGATTTCCATGATTTAAACGTGAATACCAAAAATTGTTAATTAAGAATAATATTTTTGATTCAGGATAATACGTAACTCTTAAAGGTAGATAAACCTTTGTAGCTATATTATTCTGAAATAATCAATAATAATCTAGTTTTATTTTATAATATATTGTGAAAAAATTACGAATGTTGATGTAGTTATAAATTTATCTGCTGTCAATTTCCCCTTAGAGTTACAAATTATTTATACGTAATATCCCAATATTTATTGAAATTAATTCATTAATTCATTTCTGGTATCCCCTAAAATTATTATAGCAAGATTTAGCATAATATAAATGGTTTATCTGTATTTATTATTTATTTTTGAAAGTGACGGACATTACATATATAATTTTGAAAATAAAACGTAAGTATAAATTAATAAACAATTTTAACAATAACAATCATAATATTTGCTTATCCTTTTTAAAGATAACATTTTTTTTACGATCATATATACAAAATCAAAAATGAATTATTACAATGCAATCAAGTAGACATTTTTAACTGTGCCTATATTTTCACTTATTTAATATTAATTTGTTTTAAATTATAATAATAATAATTTATTTGTTATGTTTACACAAAATTGTTTTATGGAAATAATTTCTAACGAAATATCAATCATTATATTTGATTAATTTATCGTTTTTTGAAAAATAGTTATCAATTCTTTCCCCTTTCTTTCTTTCTAAGTTCCTTTGAGTATAACATTTTTAATCTCTAATCTGTTTTAAAAGATAATGTTCATATTATTTAGAAGGGTACTATCGAGTTTCAACGGTATAAATAAATATAGGTATATTTATAATATAAAATATAATATATGTGTTGTATATATTATATAGGGTTGCATTGTAATATGATGACGACACAAAAACAACATAATATGATTCACCCGTATAATATGTTTATCATTGGTATCATATCAATAAAATAACCATCACCTTTATTTTCGTAACTTATAAGTTACTATTTTTAAATTATATTTTGGTACGCCAAACTTGAGACCTGGACTTATTATTATTGATAGACTTATTATTGCGTAATTATTCTTATTTATTATTTCATTATAAGATATAGTTATTCTCACTATATTTTTTTAGTTTTTAATAGTGCCGATTTCCTGTGAATTTAGTAAGTGCATGTGTTTTGTTTAAAAATTAAATAATATGCCGTTTAATTAAAATCTAGATTAAACTGGTGTGAACAATAATAAGTAGTTTTTTCATACTTATAGAAATAGAAAAAATGTCTACAACTTTTTTTATCGTGGTGTTTCTCACAATTTAATTTTTTATTTGAACAGATGGGTATTTTTCCGTTTAGTTTTTAATTCTAGTTTTTTATTACTGATAACTGTACGAATAATTAATAGTAAATTATTTTATCTTATAGTATTATATAAATTAATTAATTTAAGATAAGGTATAATGTCTTTACAAAAATTTTCTTTTACCCATATTTAAAAATGTATTAATTGAGTAATTATACTGTACATTATCGTACATTATTTAATCTATATATAACTGCTATAATAATATTGTAGGGAGAATAATACTTTGATGTGCTCTATAATAATATCGATTTGTCTATAAACACAAAATTGTTTTAAAAATAGAACAATATAATCTAAAATGATTAAGTTGTACCTAATCCCTCATAGGTAGTTATTATATTTATCACAGATAATATTTATCTTTTTTTATCAAAATTGTAGACACTTACTTAAACACTGTATAAAAATATTATTAGTAAATATTATTTACTGTGTTTAATTCATGTAACATAAAAATACATTTTAATTTACTATATAAGCATGGGCCTTCACACGAAGGAGGTATAGAGAGTAAATTCATTCCATGTTTTTTTTTTTTTTTTTTATTATGGATTTTATTTTTATGTTCGACTTCTAATCGAAATTTGGACAATTCTCAAGGGCGGAGCTTTTAAGTAATACAAGTTGAACAGACTCGTAAGGGTTCCAACCCTCCACCCGCACCCCTATGTAATTTGTAAAGTTATAATATAACACATGATAAATTAATTTTATATTCATCAACAAAAACCAAATACTAATTATATGAAGTACATTAAAAAACTCAACACTTATCAATAGAAATTAATTATTTATTTGTATTTAGAAAAAAAAAACTTACTTCGAGTTTTGATTTATTTAACAAAATAACTTTAACGATAATTAGACGTAGCAAATTTATACAGTATGTCTTAATATTTTAAAAATAACAAGAAATATCTTTTTCTATATAAATAACAGGATAATTAGAAAACCTATCTTGATGCATACACGTGGCGTAATCAATTTTTATCCTTCTCAAACTGAAAAAAATTTCTCAAATGTATTATAATAAATTTAAGTGTAAAGCGAAGATAAAAATTATTTAAATTAGAATATATTTTAAAATATGAACTTATTTTATTTCCTCTAAACTGACGTCTCCTGTGAATAAATAAATAAAAATGCAGGAGGTTAAATAAAACTGCAGGGCTAAACCCGCCGAATTGCGCCCATGATTCAACTGATATTTATTAAAAATACAATAAATAAATAAATAAATAAATATTTTCTTTGAATCTTTATCATTTTCTACGCGATTGCTGTACAGATTACAATTGTTATCGCTATTTTTGTTTTATTATCACCTGAGTTCATACTTTGATATGAATAATATAATAGTCTCATACAATGATACAATTGATAACATATTTTCTATTTTTTTTTTTTTTTTAGTTATCAATTGTTTTTAATAAAAAATGTATTACTAATATCTGTTAAATGTTAATTTGACGTTGGATATTTTTCCAATAAAATCTATATAATTTTGTAAATTTAACATTATAGTTAAAATTATAATACATTGCAATTTATTGTATGTTGATTTTATACAAGAAAAGGGTATATCTTGGCATTAAAAAAATCCTGAGAACGCGTCTATATATGTACACAATTATATACATATATACATTAACTACCGTATGCACCAAATTATAGAAAAGTATTATGAAACTTATATTTTTCAAAGAATAAAACCCATATATATTACATTATGAGTTATGACTCATATTTTTTCAAAATGTGTCATTTTAATCACTTCGTTTATGGTACCCAGCAATTACGTGATTCAACTTCCTGCTTTATTGTTAATTTTTACATTACTATTATTTCATTGACACACTCAGAATATTGTTTATATACGAAGCCAACCTATTTGGCTTACATGGAACAAGTTTTATTTATAATTGAATGTACAATTTGAATTTAAAAAGTCGATAAAGCTATATTACCTACCTATATTTATTCACTGAATTATATTTTGTTTTATTCATCAATCATATTTCAGAACGTTTCATAAACATCCACAACATAATAAAGATCAAACCAAAGTGTACAGACATTGCATCTTGTAAAATACGTATGAGCCAAATTAATATCTGTTACTTGGGATTACTATAAATAAAATATGCTGAATAGTAAACATGGTACTCATGTACTCAAGGGCCCGTAATTACCCGTAGTACAAAATCGAAATTAATCTCGTGTTAACTTTTCTTAGATGAGTATCCTGAATACTCCACTCGAAACTAGAAATAACTAGTCTTTTAATAAAATTTCTACTAATGCCAAAATAAAAATTACATTAAATCCATTTTGGGTGACGAAAAAAAAAAATGTTTAAACAAAGTTTGTTTGTATTTTTAAATATATACAATGTATATTATACATATTGTTATGTTTAAACACGTTCATAGGTCAATATTATGTGTAACATCTTTATAAATATAAACAATACATAATTTAATGTCTGCTATATAAATAGTTTTTAGCCAAAACATTAAAATAATTGTAATTTACTAAATCCGGAGTAAACATTTTTTTTTTTTTGTGATGCAAATCAAAATCTGTAACTTTAATTACTTTTCAATATTTATTGTTCAACTGACACAAATAAAACAATTATTATTCATTATTGTTACAATCATCATTTATATTAAGAGCAGTATGAATTCAAATAAACGTAATTCGTTGTTGATTCTGATAGAACTATTAACGTGATGCTATTTTTTTTTTTTCGTGAGTATAACCAAAATATTATACAAGTATATTAAATATGGTCTAAAGAGTAAAATATTAGAAACAAGTTAAAACCACATTTACTTTATCATTTTCCAACTTCTGATTAAAAATAATTATCCATACGTTAATTTTACAAAACAAAAGTTATATCACAATACAAATTAAATGTAATACATTGTGTAGTCAAGTTTTTCTATTTTATTAGGTGTATTGAAATTGATGATGTTACAGTTTTAAATATCCATCATATTATTTTTTTATTGCTAAAGAATGATTTTAAAATTGTATAAAAAAATACCAAATGTGAATTATAATTATCCATTTGTATTTAAAAACAGTTAGGGTCAGTGGCATACGTCCAATCTTGTTCTGGGGGGGGGGGGGTTAACAAAAATAATCGTTATTTTTTTTTTCGTTGCACAGATAAATAAGATAAATAACTACTATATATAGATATTATTTTATACAACTTTTTTACCAATTTACAGTTTACTTTTACATTACAGAAAATTAATAGCTATTGGAATATAACTTTTCAAATACCTATCAATATAATTATTTAATTATCATAATAATTGTACAGTTGTATATTTTAAGTTCAAAGCGTAATAATGAAATTACGAATATATTAGGCGTCATCAATAATAAAACGATTTTCTTTTTTTTTTGGCCCTGGAGTGGGTTTGAATCCGGGACCCCCTCCACCGTATGTACGTCACTGGTTAGGGTAGAAAAAAAGTTGATAATACTTATTTATATTTTATTTTTACTTCTTTAATATACTTTTTTTTTTAACTGATTTAAGATTAATTCTAATTTCATTAAGATTATTTGTTTCAAATAATGTATGGGCTTTTTATTTTTGATTATACTTTATACTCATTTATAATCACTTCTATATTTATTAAATTGGTAAATTTATCGTTTCGTCCTGCACAGGAGCAGGAAGTGTTGATTACATTACATTCGAATTGTCTTGGTATAAATTACTATCACTTTTATGATATGATGTAGAATTTACGTACAACATAAATCGTTTTATTGACTTGTATAAATTATAACTTCTAACAAGTATAATATTAATACATTATAGTGATTATAATATAAAATGCACTTAATGATATCTAATATCTATGCAGATTTTAAGATTAATCCCATGATTAGTGAAATTTAATACTGGAGTAACTAGCGTTAATATACCTATTTATATTGTAATTATTCGTATTAAAAACTTTTGTATAATATTTATTTACAATTTCGATTTTATATGATATAAATTTAAATATTAATATCTTTATATTATTTAATACTATTTTTTTTTACCATGTATACTCGTATACTTGGGACGATATCGAGTACAACATAGTATATAAAATGTGTATGAATATTAAACTTATTTTTAAAGGCCTAACTTATCCATAAAGCCATCTAAATAGTAAAGCCCCAGAGCATTAAAAAAATAGAAAAAATACTAGATATATATTCAGACATATAAATTAAATGAACTTTTACCATATATTAATCAATAGAATAAATATTGATTCATCAATAAGGATACATAACTTATAATTAATAAGAATAAAAAAAATAAAATATTTTAAACAGATTTTAAGAATATACTTGTATTCTTAACAAAAACGTGCTGTTTTATTATGAATTAAATTTGAATTCCACTAGCAATGTTTATATTTCCGGCTTCTATTCATTTGTGGTTAGAATATTGTATTGTTCCTATGTCTATATGGTCTGTGCGTATAATTAAATATGACTTACGAATATTTTAGACAAATTTAATTTTTATTTATAAAATAAATTATTATTTATATAATTTGATTCCGGAAATCACTGTTAGATATAAAATGTTCCAAGTTTATATAGTTCTAATAGTTTGGAATATTTATTTATAAACCAACCGAATTCATATTAACAAACATGCATTTTTTAGGAAGCATGAAGTTTTCTGTAAATATAAAAAAAACTTTCAGATATCAAATTATTATTACTTATAAATCATAATTTTCCTTTTAAAGTTATGAACAATAAAAATACATGGTTTTATATATAATTATTTTTTTAGAATTTCTTCTAAACGAGTATTAGTATTGTAATTGTAATAAAAAAGCTACTTGAGATATAATTTATTTCTTATGCATTTATGCATACATTTTATAAAATTGCATTTTACAGAACTCTCGTTTATTTCAAAAATAAATCATGTATAATGAGTAGTGTTTCTAGTGAAGTGAAGGTATCAACTATATTCAATATTTATAATGTAGATGCAGTATAAAGTATCTTAAAAATGTACTTTTTTGTTTAAAAAGAGTTTAAGGGTAGCTGAATTATTTGATCTTAAATAAAATATTGACAAATTTTGTATACATTATTAATTGTACTTATATTTTTATTTCACAGGTGGAATAACTGATCAAATTGATAAGCAATTTAATACTTATTCGTTTATTGTACCAAAAATTGTTCATGCAAAACATAAGAGAGAGATCGAATCAACCAAAACGAATCCGGTAAGCACATTTTATCATTAACAATTTTTTAGCAATAGATACCTATTACCAGGTGCATATTTAATTTTTTGATTTTTTTATGGGGCTGGGAAATTTCCTCAAAAAAAAAATTTCACAATTCAATCAATTAAAAACACACATTAGAATTTTAGTAAACAATTTTAATTTTTATCGTATAATCATAACTTATTTTTATAAAATCTATGAAATAAAATGAAATTAAATACCTACTTAATTATAGAAAACTAATAGGTACACTACATAACATGAACAATTTGAAAATAATAATTCATAAAACAATGATAATATCAGCTTCTACAATTTATATTTTACAGGTTAAAAGCAGACTTAAATTTTTTTCTGAAATGTCAGGGAGTGCTTAGCTTCCCTCTTCACAGAAATACACACCGCCCTTTGCTGTATATAAATATGTAAATATTTAAGATACGATTATAGTTTATAATGTATTTCACCCAACATTTTAACATATAATATTTGACTGATGATAAATATATTACTTGATATATTTTTAAATAATTAGAATATTTCAATGTTTATCAATATAACATTATTAAACTGGGTTCTTCCTATTTTGATAATCAAAAGAAGGTCAATCACACTTAATTTAGCTGATAACTCAGTTGTAACAGTAAAATGTTGAATTAACGGTGATAGTGTTTTTGCGTGCCCGCGTATGCGTTTAGAAGGATATTCGTTGTATATTGCATATTATGTACGTATATTGTATGTATAATGTATAGTACTATTTTATTAGTACGTCATATTATCACTAGTGTTACATTTGTCAATTATAGCCTATAAAATGATAATATGAAAATTCTAGTTGAAATTGTATACGAGTTAATCAAATATCACATTTTTTTTTTTCGTTTTTAAACCCGGGGAATTAGCGAGAGCTGTTTATTTACCGTACACTCTGCTCCCAAAATGTTATATACTATACATTCGAAGCTGTGTATTAACGAGTTAATTTATTTTTAGTCCCGTTTAGTTATTTTTTTCTTTATAACCCATAGATTTAAAATAATATTTTTTTTAAGAAATGTAAATAATTCAAGCGAGTCTATTGTGTCGTCAAAAGTTATATTTCTTAATATTTATTTCGTATTATTTACCGTGGTGCTATGATTTGCGAGGTTAACTGTGCAAATTATAAATGCCAGGTCCCGTATCCGAATATACTGCAAAATAGAAGCGCGAAACCCTGTGCGATTGCACTATCTGCACACCCCTTGAGCCGGCACTGATTTCTTACTGAGTACTGAAAGTATTACGAGTAACGAATACTTCTAATATTATTACGTATTTATAATCTGAATTTTATTATTATAATTTAGTAAGTATTACCAAAGTAAAATGAAAAAAAGTTTTATAACTTTCGATGAAAACATATAGGTAAAAAACTACATTAAAATAATTCAATTATTTGGTTGGATTTCGTAATTTATTTAGATATGGAAGTATCTACAGCAATTAATTAAATAACATAAATTTGTTTTAAAAAGTAAAACCTATATTAAATTATGTTATTTTTTAAGTTTTAACAAAATGTATCATTTTTAATTTTATAAGAAAAAAAGTTACTTAACTACCTTTTAACTAGATTAAATTACTTTTATTTCTAATTAACTTTTAACTTACATTTTCCTATATTAACTAAATTTAACGAGTTAAAAAATATTTGTTAATTTGCCCATCCTTGTATGTATTATAATACAGTATAATATCATGTCATCATGTACAAAGTATTACAATAAAATAACGAGACTTTTTTTTTTTTATAAAAGTGCTTTATATTTAAAATATTACAATTTAACGATTATCGCCTTCAAAAATTACACTTTATTGCATACGTTTCTAGCAGCAACATGCAACCATTCTTGAAAATAGTGCTGCCAATCGCTTTCAGTCAACCCTTTTAGAAGTTCTGCCGTTTTCCTTTTTATATCATCAATTATTTAAAAATGCATTCAGTTTAATAAATTATTAATTTTTGGGAATAGGAAAAAATCACAAGAAGCATGGTCTAGTGAGCAGAAGGGTTGTTGAAGTATAAACATTTTTTTTTTCAGTTAAAAACGTTCAATTAAAAATGCACTGTGAGTTGGAGGATTGTTTTTATGAATCACCCCACCCATTCATCCACAGGTCTGGTCGCTTCTTTCTAACACGTTTTATAACCTCTTTATAATGATATTTATTAACTGTTTGTCTACTAGGAACCCATCCAACCAAAATTATTCACCTAATTCAAAGAAAACCACGAGTATTGCTTTGAATTTTAAATGCCTCATTATTGGGGAAGTTGGTGTCTTCCAATGCATGGATTACTTTTTATTTTCAAGATCATATGTAAAATTCTATGTTTTATCACACGTAATGATATTATTTATAAAAATGGTTCATCTTTGATAATTTTCAGAATATCTGAACAAATTTCTGTGTGATTTAATTTTTGATCCAACGTCAAATTTTCAAAAACTATTTTGGCACACATTTTTTTCATGTTTAATTTTTCTTCTAAAATTTTACTAACACTTTCTCTATTCATATTTACTATCTTTGCTACAACTCTGAAAAAAAAACATCGACGATCTTACCGAATAATTTTGTTGATTTCTTTTAATGTTTTCGTTTGTCGAAGACGGGCTATGACGCCCAGGATGATCATCGCCTTAACGTCCTCGCTTCCACTATAAAACCCATTTAAATATAAATATATTATTATTTATTCATATAAGTTATGTCATTCAAAAACGCGAGCTCTTGATAGACATTCTTCACCAAAAACTTCACTATTATCTCAAAGTATAGGAGACGATTCAATCAGTTCTATTTTTTTTCCCATCGTAAAATAATTGTCGAAAATATATTTAACAATATAATTTCCATACTTATAAACTTTTAAATATAATATTTAATTACCTTTAGGTTATGAAAAAGAATGAAAAAAAAACTGTTCTATACTGTATTTGATAAAGTTATATCAATACTGATTATTTGTATTGTAGAGGTATATATATTGTTGATATTCGCTTGCGCTCTATGTATGGTCTATTTCCTTTATTTAACATGTTGAATAGATCTAAACTTCTCTAGATAGAGCATCCCCAGTTTACACTGTTTACTGTTGTTTGGTCTACGAATTTTCTTTTTTTTTTTTTATCATATTTTTATTCCGTTAGTCCATAACAAGATATAACGGAAATATCGAAATATTTTCCCTTTAACAGTGTATAGCATATGCTGTAATTTACTGTTTAAAAGACCTTCACGTGTGTATGTAACATGATGCCCTCACTATTTTCCCGTATTTCATTATTTTTCCACTGTAAAATAAGATCGTATTTTCTTTTATTAGATTTCTTTTATTAGGCCATATAACTTCTTGTTAGGCTAATATTTGTATTTTATATGCATTAACTGTATCTACAATATACTATAATGCACTTAAAGTTCTAACGTTCCATGATCCCAATTTAATTCCGTTTCCTAGTTTCAGTTTATCCATTATATCATTCCATATCTGAAACTTGTTTTTTGGTGGTTTCTTAACCAAGAGATTTTTTCCACTGGATGGAGGGTTGGCTCATCGCAGAAACCCCCAACCTGGAGAATCGGATAACTCCAGTCACTTAAGGCCAGGGTTATGTCAATTGCAGTATCCAAATGAATGGTACTGGGCGATGAGAACTTCACTCTCCCTATGTCAAAATGTTAACCTTGTTAGTCATTTAAATTTCACAAAAAATTAATTGTGTATCTCGTTCTCGTAATAACATAAAATAGTTTTCTCAGCATTTCAAAAGACTGTGTATATTACTTTATTGTACCTATTTTTTGCACATAAAAGCATAAAATTTAAATTAACAGCTGTTTTATTCAGTTATAATTTTAATTTCATTCATTTTTTATCTATCATCTATTATTTATTTATCAAAGTTTTGCTGTAATTTATTTTTTTTTACTTACATTATAATTTATTTAAATTTTAAGAAGTTTATTTATTAGTAAATAAAAATGAGACCGCAGGAATTTTTATAAAAAGAACATATATTTTTACTAATATTTGTTCACTGAAATATAACTATGTGTATACTGTACATATTCATATAGTATTTGTATTGTTCATATTATCTATGAATTAAATGAGAAGTATAGTAAAAATAATGTTTTAAAATAAAATTGTACTTGCTAAAAAATAATTTATTAATTACAATGCATTTTATCTTTGATGTCAATATTTTAAATTAGAGAATTCAGTTTTTGTTTGGAAGTAATTTTATTACTTTTTATTTGAATTATTATTATTTTATTATTGATGTAACTATCAAATTTAATAAAAATAATAAATATTTAATAAAAAAGCTTATTGAGCCATTAACTGAAGATAAATATTTTGAATTTTTATTATTTATCATGAATGAGTATATTTATATTATGTTTATAACAATAAAAAAAAATATAAACATAGTATGTTAATATGTTACGGAGCATATGTATTGCTTACATTTGTGGTAATTCCGTTTAACGGTCGTCGTTATTATACGAGTATATTGATAATTACGATAAGATAAATACGTCTGATCGGTGTGACGACGAACTGATGTAATTTTATTGTTATTAATAATTATTAAATTTTTTAAAAATGCATATTATTAATACTAGAATATTAACTGCCGACTATTTAATCCATCAATTTGTACAACCCGTCCAAACATTATTAATTTATCCATACTTTTTCACTATTCTTCACTTTCTAACTTTTATATTTGATATAAGAATACGTTAAAGGTTTCTTATGTTTTTAAAATAATAAAGAATTTGTCTTTTAATTAATAAGCTATTTTATGTATTAAACTCGAAACATTTAATATTAATAATTAAGTATATATATATATATATACGGTAATAATTCCCAAAACATATTTATGTTTTTTGTATTAGTTTTTGTATGTTTTGTTTTATTTTTTCACTTTCAATTTATTAAATAATTTTTTCTGTCAAATGTTTGTGAAAACGTTCACTAAATTTAAAACGGTTTAATGAATTTCAAAGTAGGATCAGTGTTTAGTAATAATTTAAATCAGTAAATGTGTCATGTAATAAAATAAAAATAAAAAACATATCTTTGTGTATACTTATGTGCTAATTTTGACATTGTTTAATCCGATAAATGTACTTCAAGTCTCAAAGACGTTTCTGAAGTTATTATATTCACATTGGATATGAGGAACTAATTCCACTTAGTATGCAGTGTTTGAACGGAAAACAGTTTTGTGAAAGTGTTACACATTTTCTTTCTATGCATACGATATTATATTTCATTTTTTTTTTTTTCGATTACGGTATAGTTAAATACTAGAGGAACAATAAATCGTAGACGATTCAGAAAAATTTTACGACTGAGCAAAACTAAGTGTGCAAATGTATGCCATTTATAATAATAATTTGTAATAAAATCGTGTATTGTTTATTAATAATATATTTTAAATTATGATAAAAATTATTATTAATGCTTTAGTCGGACCGGATATCTACAACTTGAATTTTAATTGTACGCAGCATTTCTTTGTGCAATTTTAATCGCACATTTTTAATAAATATAAAATTTTACTTAATTATTTTTTTTAATTACAATTATGGTAATTTGTTTTTTTTTTATCGGAAACAATATTATTTATCAAAACCATATTCACGCCATTTGATAAATAATATGGTGTATCTATGATTTAAGTTATCCTCATTTTGAAGTAATACAAAAATCAAAACGATTCATAAGACCACAGGTATAGATAAGAGAAAGTTAAAAGATAAGGTGTCTTCAAATATTCTCGAAGCTTCTTTAAATGTCTAACTAGGTATTAACTTATTTAACGCCATATTTTGGGCGTAGCCCGTTTCGCCCAAATTTTGATATTATAAGATTCTCGTTTCGTCCAGACTACTTTAGATAAATTTAAAATTAAGTTGGAAATTTTTTAATAATATGTTTTTATAAATATTGTGGACTAATTTTAAATTTTACCATTTTTGTGAACTCAAAAGCAATTTTTTTGGAAAACAAACAGTATTGTCTCCTCGTGGTGTTCTCTGAATAACGCTAAATGATACACAAATATTGAAATACTATATAATTTAAAATAATTATTGCCAACTTAATTTTAAATTTATCTTAACTAGTAAATACTTACAACTTTTAAATAACCGATGTGTTGTTTTTATATACGGCCGATCCGCCCCTAGACATTGTTCCAATAACGTATTAACTATCTGTGTTCCTAATTCTACTCTATATAAACTGTATTAAACAAATATAAACGAGTAAGGCATTTCTGTACGACTTAAAATTGAGTGAATAATATTATATTAATCATACATTTTCTCTTGTCGCAAAATAATAATTATAATTTAAATATTTTTTTTTTAACAAATTTAATACATTTTTTATTAAAAGTAATTAAAAATATCAGATTAAAATCAACGAATCTCAATTATTAATAAAAACTATGTCCGAAAACATTAGTTTTTATATATAAATTTATTTAGTTTTGTATGAGTACATTTTTCCCTTGAAATTCAATATTTTCAGTGTTTTTCTAGTTAATAAACTATTTAATATACATTATCAACATGTTCGTCATAATCAGTATATACATAATAGTATTCGTAATAGTTAATATACTAGTATAGAAGATATTATTTAATTGTGTTATCTATTGAGTATGAAATGTGTTGTAATATTACGGCATAGAAGAAAATTAAAATACTTGTCATTTCCTTATCGGGATCAGTGTCGGCCTGGCCAAGGCAGCTAGACAGCAATCGCTACTTGGGCCCTCATCTTTCTTTTTTTTTTATATGTATATTTAAATGCAACAAAACGTTTGGATATAATAATTACGAGGAGCACGTGGTCGTTAAGTATTTTAACTTTTAATTTTTAAATCTATAGTTAGAATAAGTAAATCATACTTATTATCTTAGTCAGGTTTTATAATTGTGCTTTAGTTCGATAAATATAAATTACCTATAATTATTATGGATGAATGATTTTGATATTAAATAGTATTGAAGAACGATTAATTCCAAATGAAAATATATTAAAGGATGTAAATGGTTAGATCCAAAAATATACGAATACATTGAAAAGTTTGAAGAATATGCTATGGATATTCTTGATATATAACAAAGTGATCTGATGTTAATAGAGATACTGTATTACTTAAATAAAAACAATTTGCCCCTTATTATTTTAATATTATTCCAAAAAAACATGGCATAATGAACCATAATGATGGTGAAGGTTATATTATAGATAAAGTAGTAACATCTAATTCAGAAGATGAACTTAATTCGATAAATTGTAATACCTGTTGGAAATGTATAGCATGTGCTTTTAAAATTATTACTTAATTATCTTGTCATTATGGTATGTACAACAATTTGAATCAGATTTTTAAATATATAATGCTATTGCCATCAACTCAAGTCACTTGTGAAAGAGTATTTTCTAAACTTAAAGTAATAAAAACAAAATTAAGATCGTCACTCGATCAGCAACATTTAGAAACACTAATGCTTATGGCTATAGAAAAAGATATTACTTTAAATGTTGATAAAATAAAACTAATAGATGACATAGAAAAATCGCCAAAAGAAACGACAAGACTTTTCATATGAAATAATATACATTATTAAATGTATTTATTTTATACATGCATAGTTTTTTTTTTTTTTTTATAAAAGTTGAATACTTAACGGTAAATTTAGATTACGAGAATTTTAACTTTATTTTTTTTTATTTAAAATAAAAAATATAGAGTCTATATGTATTACATTTTAATGACCATTTTACATATTTAAGATATATTTAATTTCAATATATGAGTAATAAATAAATGTTGTAGTATTATAGGGGTTAGATTAGGTTAATCCTGCCTGGGCCCTTTAGAACCAGGCCGACACTGATCGGGATTATAAGACTGTTTAATGTCATTCTACTTATTAAATAGAGTTGGTACAAAAATAAAAATAAATAGTGATCGATCTGTGTTAAAAATACCACTAGCCACAGTCAAATTAAAAATATATAATAACATAGTATTTGGATGTTCCTATTTTCAGAATTTCGAAACAAACATCCAGAGATATTTAGAACACATCATCTGTTCATTAGCTTTTATTGTTACCCCGAATCGTGGTAGCCATCTAAATACATCTTTATATTTTGTGATATTTTGTATTCCATACATTTTTATTATTAAAAATTGTAATCTGTAAAAGGCGTATGTTTACTGATTATGGTTCATATTTTTTTTATAGAATGGCTCGGAACACATACATGGAATTACAGTAAAATTTTTCGATAAAGGAAAGGAATATATTATTGATCTCAGTCTTAATAAGTAAGTTCAAAGTATTTGTAGTGAATTATTTGTTTTATTTTTTTATCAATTCCAGAGAGCTTATCCCTGTTGGTTATTTTGAAAAACACCAGAAAAACGGAGCTTATGTTATAAATAAACCAAACTCTGATGCAAGTATTTTATTTCATAGTTAATACATTCATTTTAATTATTTTCGTTTTCAATTAATATTAGTATTATTTTTTTTAGGAACTCGAATTTTGTTATTATAATGGTAAAGTAAAAAATATTCCTAATTCTTGGGCAGCAATATCTACCTGTGATGGAATAAGGTTTGAATACTAATAATTCATTAAAGAATCGAATATTATTTATATTTTTATTGTTATTATTTATATAGAGGAATGTTTTTCGACGGAAGTTCATACCATTATATTGAAAATGTTGAATGTGACTTAGGTAATAAGTGTCACATATTATATAGGCATGATGATCTTAATACTAATCATACCTGCGGTAAGTGATGTCATATTATTTTTTGATCTTAATAGAATATGTTTATTTTACTTTTAGTACTTTTTATTTTATTTTACTTCTAGGATTTCCTAATACACCATCCGAACACATGCCTAATAAAATCAAACACGTAAGTATAAATCTTTGGTAATAATAATGTAACATCAGTGGCAAACGGGGGAGGGGTCAACTGGACCTATTATTATTACATTTTCACTAATAAATATTTTTAGTTAATTGTGTTCAATTCAACCAAATTCGGATATTCTAATAGTAAATGATTGGTGTTTTACCATTATATTTTAATATTATATTTTGTATACTGGTAATTAATATGATACTATCGGGGGCCCAGGAGGCGATCACCCCTTTGCCTCTCTGGCCAGTCTGCTCCTGTGTAACATCATAAGTTTTTGATTATTATGTATTCTTTTTATAGGAAAGAAGAACCAAAAGATCTCTACAAGGACCATATAATCAAAATGAAAAATCTAGATTTATTGAATTAGTTCTTGTTGTTGATAACGAAGATTATAAGTCATTTAATAGTGAATTACCAAAAGTTTATCAGCATACTAAAGATATTGCAAATATAATAAATTCTGTTAGTTTTATTTTTATTTTTATAATACAGCATGCTTACATTTTACAATTACATACAATTATGTCATTATAATTCTTTTTAAAAAAGCTGTTCATATCATTGAACATATTCGTTACCCTTGTTGGAGTTGTTGTGTGGACCGAACGTGATTCAATTTCAATAGTAGCAAATGGTGATACTACATTGACCAATTTTCTACATTATCGTCGAGAATACCTTGTTAAGGACCATCCAAATGATAATGCTCAATTGCTTACGTAAGTTTCACACATTGAAAAAATTGTGTATTAATGATTTTTTGTTGTTTGACTTTATGTTTTTTTTTTTTTTTTCAGAAAATTACGATTTGATGGAGGTATTGTCGGTAAAGCATTAAAAGGACCTATATGTACTTATGAATTCAGTGGTGGTGTAAACAGTGACCATAGTTTCGTGAAAGGTGTGGTTGCTACAACTATAGCTCATGAAATAGGCCACAATTTGGGAATGGAACACGATACAAATGATTGTGAATGTCCTGATGACCGATGTATTATGGCACCTTCTTCAGGGTGAGATTATTGCTAAATATTAAAGTTAGACAAGTACTCAAATTTGAAATTCTATTGAGTCAAGTATACTCGAAGTCGAATCGACAAAAAAATTGTTTGTACTCGTAAATACGAGTACTTGATTTGAATCAAGTATTTGATTTTAATTTGAGTACTCGAGTTTATTTCGCTACTTTATTGAAAAGTAAATTTTAAAACTATAAACAACTGGGAGCCAAATATTTCCGATAAGAAATCCAGGAAAATTGATGCTTTAAATTAATAAAAATAGATTGTTATTACTTTGATATTTTATTGTCATGATAACCAAATTTTATACAAATTGGTAAACACAAATTTTTTTTTGAGTAATTAGCAATTCAAATTGTCGAGTATTTGACTCGATATAAAAAAAAAAATACTTGTTCAACTCATAAATGTTTATTATTTCAAATTTTACTATAGACAGTTAAGTCCAAAACATTGGAGTTCTTGTAGTATGGAATATTTAGCATTAGCATTTGAACATGGAATGGATTACTGTTTGAGGAATAAACCAAAGAGGTAAAATATACTTAATATAGATTTAAATACTTTGATCGTATCTTTAATTTAAATTTACATACTGATTTGATTTAATTGATTTAATTATATTTTTAGATTATTTGGAAGTCCTGTTTGTGGTAATAATTTTGTAGAAGAAGGAGAACAGTGTGATTGTGGTATAAAAGAACTGTGTAACAATCCATGCTGCAATTCAGAAACATGTAAATTATTTGAAAATGCTACTTGTGCTACAGGACAATGTTGTGATTTAAAAGTATTATTTTTTATAAATGTTTCCATTTTTTTATATCATATTAAAATTATATTACATTTTTTTAGACTTGCAATCTTATGCCTGCTGGTTTAGAATGTAGATCAGCTCTTCATGAATGTGATTTACCTGAATATTGTACAGGAGAATCAGAGTATTGTCCTGTTAATGTGTTTAAAATTGATGGATCCACTTGTGAAAAAAAAAAAGTATGTTAATAAAACCTAGAGCCAATCTAAAGTTAAAAATATAATTTATTATGCATATTTGTTTTAAAGGCGTTTTGCTATGAAGGATCTTGTCGAACACATGAAGATCAATGTCGTTTATTGTGGGGTCCTACTGGTGAATCATCATTACAACAATGTTACAGTTTTAATAATCAAGGAACAATTACGGGTAATTGTGGCTACAATCGTTTGAACAAAACCTATACCAAATGTAATGGAGAGTAAGTTATTTTTTTTGTATTTAATAATTGATAATTTTAATTTTAATTTCATTATCTTCTTTATATTTATTTTAAATAGAAATTTTCAATGTGGAATGTTGCATTGTGACCACAAAAATGAACGTTTAGAATTTGGTATGGAGAATGTTTCCACATTATCCCAAAAATTTATCAATAACAATGGATCATTGGCTGCTTGTAGAACAGTGATTGTTGACTTGGGTCTAAATGAAGTTGATCCTGGTTTAACTCCAGATGGTGCAAAATGTGGTGAAAATAAGGTTTGTGTTTCTATAGTTAATACAATTTTTTTAAATTATTTATAATTTTTCAATATTTTACTTTTTAGATGTGTATAAATCAAAAATGTATATCAATAAGTGATTTAAGAGCTCAAAATAAAACTTGTCCATATGATTGTCATGGTCATGGTATATGTAACAGTATGGGTAATTGTCATTGTAATATTGGGTATTCGCCACCAAACTGTGACAATCCTGGTCCTGGTGGAAGTATTGATTCTGGACCAGCATCCAGTCCTTACAGTAATTAAAATATTAATATAAAAATGTATTGATATTATGAATGTTTAAATATTTTACACAATTTCAGATAAAGGATTCATAACTGGAATGTACGTTTTAACAATTGGATCCATTCCACTACTGTTGGCGGTTTTGTTATTCGCATATTGTTCAAAAAATCATCATTCAACAACGAACTGGACTAAATCTAACCGTAAAATGTTATCGTATGTATATAAAAAAAATTTGCACAATTTGGTCATTGATGATGGTAATGGTAATAGCAATGCTTACATTACTACTATAACTAGACCGCTACCTAGTATATACTCTGTTTCAACTCTAGTCTCACAGAACGATAATAGTTTTTATTCAGAACCATCTGAAACTAATAATTTTTATCATAACACTATGCCAGAGCCAATTTATGATACAATTTTAGAAAATGCTTATGTCAATAAAGCATTTTCTGTGCCACAATCAAAGTGCAATGATGCCAAAATATCTAAACTAAAAAAAAGTGATATTGTTATAACTACTCTTAAGTCCACAACTAATCCTCAAGTAAAAAGTTATTTACAAGATGGTGTATGGAGGGATTCAAAATAATTTGTTCAAAACTAATTTTTTATAATATACAAAATTTTACTATGATTTATTTGACTATACCAATATTAAGTAGATATATTTTTAATAATACTGCTTCAATAAATAAATAAATACATTTTAATAAAAATATAGTTTTGTATATTTTTACGTCTGAAGCATAAAATAAAAATTTGATTATTTTGTGGTCTTTTATACTTTCATGGTAATTTTTTTTCTCTTAAATTAATTTCTTGTAAATAATAAACTAACATTTCAAATCCTATTTAGAGTACACCTGACATGGATTTATAAATACTAATACAATATATGTTTTGGGTGTTAATGTGTTTTTGATTAATGTTCCTTTTATCCTATAACTATGTCATAATGATCTTTTTAATTTTAACCTATTTATCATTATTTATAATGCGCTTTGAATTAACATTATACATTATTGGGTCAATTGTATATAAATATAAACTTCTTGAACTGGGATGTTAAATTTTCTTAGGCAAATTGACACACTATTGGCTTTTCACTTATCAGTGTTTACAATTTTATCATTTTCTTTTAACAGTAATGATGCAGAAATTGGTAACAAATTTAACGGAACTGTATCACCTTCAAGTACACTGCTGATAGATAATCATAAACCTATGGTACTTCACAAGGAACTTTTAGGCAACCACAAAGGGTTTAGCATTAAACCATTGGCAGCTAAAGAACAACCTGTTGCCTCACGGACACCAATAAGACCGGCTCCTAGTGCGCCTCCTGTGGCTATTACTATGTCCAATGAGAATGTAACAAGGAGTGAAAGGTTAGAGATTGGACAACCTGTGTTGGACGCGACCACTTCGTTGGCCGTACACGAGTTGATGTCTGTGCCATTGAAACCAGCACCTCCTGTGCCGACTACTGCCAGGCCAGCTAGTACGATACCGGTCGATAGTAAGAATACTGGATGCGTGAGTGGTGGAGTAGGAGGATATCCCACTTTGCGTAGAATCACATCGTTCATGAAAAACCAGAAGCTCGAAGAAAAGAAACCAGCAACTGCGCGAGCCAATGCCAAGTTCGATAAAGACGTGCTCAAAAACCTTGAGATATCGCAACCGATCTTGCAGAACGAAATAAACGTACCGTCCGAACCGTTACCGTTGGAGGCGGACCAGCACAAAGCGGTGGTGCTGAGAGCTCAAAGCTTGCGCACGGCGAATAACACCAAACACCGACCGTCAGTCCCAAACTTCGGGTCAATGAGATCCAAGCGGCCGACCAGCGTGGTTGTGATTACACCCGCCGCGTCCACGTCCACTTGTTCGAGACCCACTTCACCTCCGCCGCAACCTCCACCGCCGCCGCAATCCACGTCGATTCACCAAGGTGGTTACCAAGTACCGCGACAGCAGTCCTCCGAAGCGATGGATAGATCACCGACTCGGCGGCCGATGGCCGCGGACGACGACGACAATAATACGGCGGCTACGCGACACGAAAACATATACTCGGTGATAGACGAGAGTCCGGCCGCAGTGTTACGAGTGGCGGAAGACGAGTGCGCGTACAAAGTGCCCAAGTCACTGGAAAGCTCCTTGCTGGGTGAGATCGTGTCGGCCATACAGGAACGCAACCACGAGTCCATTTATACGAGCAAACCAGCGACCGTGGACTGGCCGCAGCAGACGTACGAGAACGTCAAGCCTACCCCCACTGCGGTGGCGTACAAGCAATCGGCGGAAGTCAAGTTACGAACGATCCCGTATGGTAGGCCGGACTTGGTGCAGAACTGCGATGAAAACCGTTCGATGAACTGTTCGCCGGATGTGTTGGATGCCAAGCAGCCGGCCGCGGTCAACGTTTCCTTCTCGAAACCGGTCGTACCTACCAAGCCTACCGTGACCACGGCCACGGTGGGCCTGAAGAAGAAACTTTCGGACAGTCGACCCCCATCCAAAGCCGTAGCTGACGTGCATAAGAGATATCTAAACGGCGGCGGTGGACTGAAAAAAAATCCACTGGTAGCGCCCAAACCAAGCGTAACCAGCAACAGGTAGTATAGCGACGGACTGCCGCAATGCTATACTATCCTGCCGGTCTGTCTACTCAATACGCACTCGTGTGCCCGTCAACGTTAAATGGACGTTTCTATATTTTGTTGGTTTGTTTCCGTTAGTACATTGTTCTTATAATTTTTTATTTTTTTACTATTCATTCGGTGATAACTTTTGTCTCGAACAAACAAATTTATATATATATACTTTGTATTTTATACGTATGTTGCTAGTTTGTGTGTGTGTGTTTTACTCACATGATGGTGCTTTTATTTTAAATTCCGGAGTTTATTGCCCTGTGTAAATATTTCGGTGTACATAAAATTTGTGTTATATAAACACGTTTTATTTCCTTAAACAGAATGACTTTTTTTGACAAAAAAAAAAACTTAATGTGATAAACTTTACTCAAAATTAAATTTATTTGTGTTCAAAAAGTATTAGTTCCTTACAGAAAAATATTAGACATTTTTACTTTGCTAACTAGTATTATAACTGTTTTTGTTAGTATAATATTATATTGTATATGTTTTCATTTAATTTGGGGACCAAATTCAATTTATATAATTGATAAGTACTCTCAAATCTGCAGCTTTTATCTATTGCTTTATTGCTAACATCTTCATTAATAATACTTTTATTCTTGATTTATTCTTCTTTTTATTTTACTAGTCATTATTTTTAATGTAAAGTACATATTTTATTATTTTTAATATTTTTTGTGTTAAATTATTAAATTTATTATTATTATTTTTTATAGAATGTGCTATTGTTAATCTTTTCCAGCGAATGCTTATTAGATTACAACATTTTGCTGAATTGTGTAAATTTTCTTAATTTTTTTTTTTATATCACCTAATCAATAATTATATATATATTTATATATATTTATTTTGTTAACATATTTCGAACAAAAAGGAAAAAAAGACACAAATGTTATTGATGCCAAAGGCTCATGTTCCTCATAGTTTATTATCATATTATATAAATATTATTATTATTATTTATTGTAACTGTATATATTGTATTCATATTTTATAGTATTTTCCATTTTTATTCAGGAATAAAATTGAAATTTTATATTAAAATGTAATTATTGTTGCTTTTGTAATCTGGTTGGGTTCAACTGAAAGTTGGTATAATACTAAATCCATTTTAGCTTTATGCAACTTAATATACTAGTACACTAATATCATTATCATACCCTTTGCTTCCTTATTCTGTTCTGTATATAAAATCTGAAATCAAAGCCTGATTCAACGGTGTATTCAGTTAATTATTCTTTTATAACAATTTTAATACTTTAATTTCTAAAGAACAAATTTTTGAAAACGTTCATTAATTTTAGAAATGATTATAATGTATTTTATAAAGACTTGATCTCTGAAAAAAAAACAAATTGATGTGAGGTTATACTAATATTGAAGTAAAATATTATTAAAAACTACAATATTTTTGTAAAATGCATAAGCTATCAATAGTTATTTTCTAAGTATTTATTGAATATCAGATTTAGGATTATAATATGTATGATTATTTGTCACCATTGCTGTGTTAATAAAAATACATTTTAAAATTGATGAAAATTTTTTTATTGTCAGTTGAACGAGTTTTATATAAATTAATCCTCCTTAATAGATGAAGACAATTATCATAAGTATTAGAGTCGCAGTGAAATTAACTATTTTTATAAATAAATAAACATGTAATAAAGTTCGTTCATTGCTTTTTTTCACTTCTTACATTTTTTCATTGTTTTTAAATACACAATTTTGTAGTGTTTATAATCAATAATCTTATACACAGTACACATAGTTTATATTCTTGTTTGATAAGCAATCACATTAATTGTCTCTAGGGGTTCAGATCCCAGGTATTTATGATTTTATACAGAATTGTATTTAGATATTGTTATTCTTTTTCCTTAAGGTGCGGCCCCACTGGAAGCGATTTGCGTTTTAGCGATAACGTGTAGCGATTTTGCGTTTTAGCGATTTTAACAAAAGTATGTAACTCATTTATAGTGGGCCCACTGAGCGCATGTCGTGTGTAATCGCTTTACACGCGCGGTAATCGCTGAAAGAACAAAATAGTTTGATACTCGGCGATTAATCGCTGTCAAAATGTCTTCCGCGTCGGTTGTGTCCGAACAAATAGCTGCCGCTGTCTTCGTACAGGAAGCTATTTGGAATCCTAGACACCCAGACCACAGTAATAGGACTAAGATCTAAAAATGTTGGTCCAACGTTAGAAAAGATCTCGACATGGATGATAATTTACTTTAATGTCAATTAAAGCAGCACATTCAGCCAGCAACATTTTTCTGGACGTCATCTTGGTTGAGAATCGAATAAACTAATGAAAAATAAAACGAACACGCGTGACGTAAAATTGTAGAAACGCATGTAAAATCGCTAAAGTGTCCCCATCAAAATCGCTAGTGGACATCGCACGTGTAAAATCGCAGAAACGCTCGAAACGCTCGAAACGCTCGAAACTCAAAGTCGCTTCCAGTGGGGCCGCACCTTTAAGGGGGCTGGAGCGTAGCATGTTTTAAGGAGTAATATTTAGGCATTTTATATCACATGAACATTTTGGCTGTGTCAATGTGTGAGTAGTAAATGAACATTAGTGTGTGTAATCCGTTATCGCGTTTATCATACCACCGTACATCGAATTCCCGGAACTACAATAATAATCAAAATGAACATTTTATCTTTACATTATATTAATTTGCACAACTTCACGTTTTGATGATCCAATATTATTATAATATAGGCAGTAGTTAAGACAGTATAGTACTATAAAACATAAATAATACTGTGGGAGCGCATATAAATCTGGACCGTATATATAATGGAATTTAAAATCTGGATTGTATAAATATGGACTTTATTTATTTGGACTGTACAATCGGATGTACAAATCTGGATTTTATATATACATATATATTATTATTTTAGTACCTACCTCACCATTTAAGCCTGCTGAGAGCTGGTCGTTTTTTCACAAATTCGAACCAAAAAGCGGAAGAAAAATTCATCCGGTAACTAAATCCTGATTTTAATTTTGAAAACACATTTCTTTATTCTCTTGTCTATGTTTTGTAGGAAATAATTGTTTTAATTTCTTCATTTTTTATAAGCATACAATAAAAGAAAATTTAAAAAAAAATGTATTTGGTACTATGATAAATATACAATACAATATTTATACCATTTAATATACACGAAGAAAATACTTTTGAAATTTAAATGCTTATGAACAAAAATTGTAACTAACGATTTTTGATTTTTTTTACTACAATAAGTAAAACTTATAATAAACCTTTTATTATTATTATTTTAATTAAGTCACTAAGTTAGCTAAGGACTGACCAGAGGAATTTTCTATATTGTAATCAAATAATAAGATATTGACAATTTAAAAAAAAAACAGAAATTCATGTATTTTAAGTATTTAAGTACGCTATCAATTTTTGTAATAATAAAAATTCCTTCGAACAAGTTTTAGTAAAGATGTTCAAGATTTTTAATTTGTTTTCAAAATTAAAATCCGTCAAACCCAAGTCCCACAGTTTTGTCTAGCTTATGACCTGTTTTACGTGATTTTTTGCATCGTCTACAGCCCCCTTAAAGTGTAAAAACAAAGTAAAAGTGTAAAACAAGTGTCGTCAACTATTCATAAAAAAGCCTCTTGCAATTAATTTTCCCCGTTTCAGTAAAATATTACATAATATTTGTAATTAATATAAAATCCAAAATAATTGAGTTTTAATTACCTAAATAAAGTTGTAGAAAATTGTCTTTTATAAGACTAATTAGTGGTACCTTTTGGTCTAAATATCCTATCCCCATACAAATCAAGATTAAACTAATTACTATATCTCAATAACATATCATGTAAAATAAAATACTCTTAAACAGTTATAAATTGTATATGTTACTAATAATGTAGATCATTTTACATTATTACATTTATTTTTCATTTAATTTTATTTATTTATCATTCATAAATAATTTTCCATTGAGTATGTAAAAATCGATTTGTTTTTATTTAGAATTGCCTTAAAAATTGTGCCACTCCCTTAAATATCTCAGAGGAGCAATTTCCTCCCCAAACCGTTCCTTAAATACGGTCTTGATTGTATATCTGAGAGTTGCTCGTAATATAGTGTTTAGAATTATATTATTTTCTATAAATAATAATAATAATAATAATTTATTGTATTGTTTTATTAAATACTACTATGAAATTTTAATTTTGCGAAAAAAATTTTAAATCTTAAATTATTCGTTTATGTTTTTTATAAACATTTTTTTTAATGAAAATTGGACTCGCAATTACCCATTTCGAATAAAGTCGTCTACATGCGATAAGAATTTTTTGAATTATTTTGTTCCTTAAGTATGTTTTTATACGTTTTAACGGTGAGAAAGATCGCTCAGCCGTTGTAATCGAAACAGGTAATGTGGCCAGAATTTCAAAGAGCTTGAATATATATAGAAACTATTACATTTAATATAGAAAATATGGATGGAATTCCTAAGTCGGATGAGACAGGGACGGACGGGTGAATAATATTGCTGTATTGGTCTTTAAACTTGTTCTCGAAAAAACGATTTTAAGTGATAGTGGTCAGGTGGATCTGTTCATATTATTAAATATGGTTAATATAGTAAAATAACCAAATTACTTAATGAGGTTAGTTAAGGTTAAAGATTAATATAGGTGGATGAGTATTCGATTTTGTAAAATTGTTTGTACTCATAAATCGAGTAAATATTTGACTATTCGATTTGAATTAAACACTCCAGCTTATTTCATTACTTCATTGAAAAATAAATGTATAAACTAAAAATAACTGGGACGAAATCGACGGTATTCACCGTACTCGGGTGTTTCAATAAATTTCTTCTTACCATTATCATCCTGATAAAATAGACGATATTGTGGATATTATGATAGCATATTAATAAAATATTATCCAATATTGATATAGTATATCCTATAGAAAAGAGTTAATTGTTCCCTCTCTAAAATAGACACCTATTTATGTACCTGATAACAAAAGTAGGTTAAATGAGGTATTATAAAAGGTAATTAGGAGAGGGGGAATACTTAACGATTATTAACATGTGTTAACTTTTTGAAATGAGAGAGTTACGGGAGTATAATTACCTTTGTGCGGAAAGCATCAATTTTTTTTTGTAGATCCTACTAAAAGAGTTATGCCTCGGGCCCCACAAATTTTAGACTTGTAATTACATATATTTTAGGGTTCTCCTACAAATTAATACAGAAGAAAATTAAATCATTTGAAAATTCACCAACTTCACTAACCCCTCTCTCGGGTATTTCTGTAGGCTCCTCTTGTTTGGTGTACAGTGCCCTGCTAAAGATTTTACACATTTACACATCGATGAAATTATAAAATAACAAAGATAAAATTCAAACATTTACGAACCATCACAATACTTATGATAAGTCAATAGAAACTAAATTGGTACACTTTTAATATAATTTTATCTATCTATCTATCTATCTATCTA